CAGACATTTAAATAGTATAAATCGAGTTTTCATGAACGGTTAGATACTTAGGAGTACTTTACGTAAATCCCTCTATAAACGGTCAAACCTTTTGAATGAACAAATTATTGAAAATAATTCGCGAACTGTTCACAAGACTCTAGTTTGCTAATTACGTTCTTTTTCAAACAAGTTATCGTCAACCGATAGAAACATCGAATCGTTATCCTTCCTAATTTTATTATTTAATACCAATACCAGGTTTATTACATAATTTAGAACGATTTTGTTAGTACTCTCTCTTCTTATATTAATAATAATAATTATTTAAAATCGTATTTGCTTTGCCACACATACGTAAGACAGTTTTAATTATATAAATGAAATTCATTTGTATTAAGAATCCTTTGACAAATCAAGCAATGGATTTTAAATGACCTGATCGTAATTCGAAGTATTAGTTCGAATACGAATTTATAATATAATAATATTCGTTAGATCGTTAATCATGAAAATCGATGAACGTTTTACCAAATAAATGAATCAAAAAAGATATATATATTTATACGATATAAATTACAGGAAATTCTAGAACAGAGTGTTGGTATTTGTTAGCCATGAATAAAGTCAATTTTTAACGTAGAAAATCATTTGAATTTACCAACGATAAGTAAAAGTATTAGATACATGTATAACTATCTACTACCATATTGTATAATATAAATGGAAATATTACACCATTAAAGGGAAGAGAAATAAATGGAAGGGTGGAATGAGGTGAAGTGAGAGAAGGGAAATCGAACGATCCCGAGTAGATTCATTTTCATGGATATTATTAGTCCGATCGTTTATCACAATAAACGTCATCGCATCGGTGAATGTTTATATAGACATAAATATGAAAAAGAAAAAATGATAAATAAATGATATACTTCAAATATTTATGCTTACAAGGTGTATCTAAACGGATAAGTGATGCAACTGAGTGAGCTAAAGGGTTAGGAGATGATTTCATACCTATTCAAATCATTCCAAATATTTGTAGAAATAATTTTACGTTGTGGGTATCCACAAATTCGACGAAATAAAGAATTTTTAAGTAAATGTTATATATATTCTATATAATTGAAGTCTTAATTGTAAGACTGTAATTAAGAATGTAATGAAATTATTACAAATTTTGTAGACAAATGTGTATGATACAATGGTCTGTTGAGGATACGTAATTTACATAGTACGAGCAACAGATTTACCCCAGTGGTAAATTAATCCAATTGCAAAGTCATCCGGTTAACAAATTTGTCCCCGTTGTAAAATTTTAGATAAATATAATAAATCTTTTGGATCGTTAATAGATTTAACAAATGGGAGCATTAAGAAAACAATGAAATTATAGAAAAATTTATGCACTGCATATATACGATGCAATAATCAATGGAACAAAACAATAATTAAACTAAAAAGAAAAGAAACAGAGTAAATGAACAAGTAAAATGAACGAAAAACCAATAAAATTATAATGCATAAATATATACAAAAATGTAGGGAATAGAAATATTATAATAAAAAAAAAATAAAAAAAGATCTCAGAAAGAAAGGAAGTACTAAGGGTGTTTTTTTTTTTTAAATCGCGAAAAAGGAAAAGAAAAAATATGAGAATCGTTGAATCGTTCAAGAAAGAGAAAATCGTAAAGTGTGTATATCCTTTTTGAGAAGGAGCAACCGTGCAAAAGCTTCAAATGCGGAAAACCTTACCCGACTACGAGCAATTATTTTCGTCTCATTGTCCCCTTCCTCCCCCTATCCCCCTTTCACCCACCCCTTTTCTCGTCTAGAGTACCAAAAGAGAGACGTCTTCTGCGAAGACAGAAACTTCTCTTTTTCTTTTTTTTCTTTTTTCTTTTTTCAAAACGACGAAATGAGGAAGAAATTCTGAAGCAGTTAGTTCGCATCCGACAGGAAGTGGCGGCAGCTGAGAGACACCGGAAGAATGATGGTTGACTACACACCCTTAGGTTCTATCCTACAAACTACCCCCATTCCCTACCGCCATTATCATCAAACCGACTAAAATACATTTCGAAAAGAGATTTTAGATGAATAGTACTATTGATGACAAGCAACATTTCATTCAAATCTCGATTAAATCCTTTTCATTCGAATTATTCCTATTAATTTCATTCGAATGATATTCAAATTCATTTATTCATCATTTATTTTCTTCTCGAACCATTTTTATATACGTATTTGAGTAATAAAAAATACTATTTAATAATAAGGAATAAACGTAATATACAATTTTTAGCGCATCCTAAAATATCTTAACACCTTTAGCGATCATTTCGGAAAAAACTTGTAACATTTGCAATTAATTGTTCTTATCATTCGAGTGAATTTTGAAACGTCTACATTTTACCAATCGTTGGTTGTTTACCATTCAAGAAAATCGCGTTCAGTAAAGAAGATTTAACGTCATATTAATGATGCATTAATTAACATGAAAAAGATATAAATAATAGTAAAGATGAAATATTAAATGAGCAATTATTTTGATTTTAAATTGTATTTTTATTTGAACAAAATATAAAATATATATGATAAATTATCAACGAATGGTATCTCAACTGCTGATAATATAGGAATCATGAAAACAAAATTCTGTTTGTTTAATTATAAAATGAATAAGTTAGTTAAGTGAAACTGACCTCTTTAGGATAATAAAAGGACGAATAGGCGAATCATTTCGCACGATTACGTTTGTTTGATCGATAAACATTTCTCAAAGTTTATTTTTCGGTATTAACTTCGGTTGCTACTAAAATGACGTGTGCTCTTGGATAATGGTGTAGGTAGAAGAAAAATCGTTCTACCGTATTTTACACGCTGGGATAATTATAAATAAAAGGACAAGACAAAGTGTGTGGATATTTTATCGTCGTTATGTGCGATCGATCGAGATGGAAACCTAGGGCGTATTGTTACTCTACCAAGAAAATAAAATCAGTTTCAGGCTCGAAGTATGTATGCACGTATCTATGTATGTATGTTACGCTGCGTGAGGGGTTACAAATAAAATTATTTTCTCTCGGATACACCTAATTTAACCAAATTTTATTCGCTCTTTTATTTTATTATGAATTTTTTCCACGAAAAAAGACATTGCTAAACTTTGATTCATTTAAAATGATAAATTGAGAGAGAACGCATTTAAATCGAAACAAACGCAATATTTAATTCTAAAAAATTGGCTTGAGAACAAATTATTAATAAATTATTTTTAATATAACAATCAATTTGTCATTTCCAATGTGAAAAATTGATGAAATGTTGGTATTCAAATTGTTTGTGTGCATCTGAATGGAAACAATTATTCTGCTTACTATTTAAAACACATCATGATGTTTTTTAAATGTTATTCTTTATAGATGGGAACGTCAAATTCCAAAGGATGAAGATTATTGGCAAGAATATTTTCGAAAAGAAGAACTAAATCTAATAGTAAGAGATTTCTATCCAAACTTAACGTTTTATCCTTCGATCCAACACTATCCTCGAACTTTAAATAATAGAATTCGTAATAACGATGACGCGAATACTTTAAATAATTTAATTTGCAACGATAATAAAACTTTTTTAGAATCTATACAGAATGATACATCATTTAAGGTAAATTTGTTTACGAAAGACAATAATTTCGTGAGTAATACTTCATTTACTGTTCTTCCTGGTGCATCGGAAAAGTCTTTTACCAAATTTAATGCATCAAACAAAAAATTTAAGATGTCTGCTAAAGAAAATATTTCATTAGGAAACAAATCTTCTAGTTTATTTCCCGATAATGATCTTTTCAAATATTCTACTCGATACGCTCACGAAGCTTTGAAACGTTTAGCCAAAAAAATGCATTTTAGTAGAAGAAAATTAAATGAAAGAACGACAAAAGTTTGTCCATTGGAAACAATGGAAGAAGATTCTAAAGAAATTGTAGACAAATCTGAAGAAAAATTTGCTAAGATTACGCGTACATCGTTGCAATTCTTATCCGGTTATGAAGTTGACGAAAAAGTTGTACATTATTGTCCACGTACGAGCTCGTCGAGAAATTTTTTAAACAAATTACCAATCATGTCATATTTTCCACGTAGAAAAAATCAAGATCGTTGTCTTTCGTGTTTATACAAATCCCTCGAAGAAATTGGTGCATCTTTAAGTAAAAGTGAAGACGAGAAAAGGAGAAAGAAACGAATACTCGAAGGAAAACTATCAATTAATTATGATAGCGATGACGATAGTGTCAATTTTGTTGAATTAAAAGATCAAGAAAATGTAAATGAATTCAAGACGTACGAAAAAGAAATGAAATTCGATCTAACGCAAGAAAAAAAACATATTGTTGAAGAAGACAAACTCAGTTTGCAGGGAATACAAGGAACAACGAACGAAATGAAAGAAACTGAAGGATTGTTGCAAGTATCGGAATTAAAATCGACGACTAACGTTGGTAAAAAAATCAAATTGGAAAAATCCGTGACAATGTCCTTGGACAAATCCAAAGAACCTGTTTCAAATTCGGACGAGGACGAATCGAGTATTACGTACATAGAAAATTCTTCGACTAAATTGAAATACAAACCGGCTTGTCACGTGCCAACAATTTTGTGTCACCCATTGGAACCATTGAGAGCATTGAAATTAAGAAAATCAACGAGCATGCAAACGCGTATGGCAATAAACGAATCAACGGAATCAACAATAGTCGAGTTGGACGATGAAAATCTTAAAATTGCGTCTAAAAAAATTGGAAAAGAAGAAACCCTAAAAGATTCTAAAAACAATCTTACCGAAATTGATTCGAAACCTGTTAAGAAATTGACAAAAATCAAATCGGTTTCAGAAAATCTGATACCCGATGGCGACGAGGATGCTACTAATGTAATTAACGATAAGAAAAATAAAAATCTGTTAAGAAGAAGTTCTAGTTGTACGAATTTCGAAGAAATTTTAAAGGATTTTACAAAAGGTACAGAATTCGTGTCACCTGTGTTGCATTCTTTGAACGAGGAAGAACAAGAACAACCTAAACAACAACGTTATTCTCTGTTTACGAAAAATGAGATCGAAGAAACATTAAAAGATTTGGAGATACGTAATGTATCACCTATATTAGCATTGTCTACTATGTGCGATATGTTTTTAAATCGAATTTTAGAATTGAACGACAATAGAGATAAGAGTAGGGATAAGATTGCAAAAAGTTTGGTTAAATTATTGATAGAATCTAAACGTTATACGAATCCCGATAAATTTCCTTCTGATCTGATTTTTTCCTCTAAACAGCGACCATTGTTAAACGGTCAACGATTGAGACGCATCCTACCCTTAGATTCTTACAATCTGATCGCACCTTTTTTGGGAATGCCTGAACATTATCCAAGGTTACCCTTCTCCCTTCCTAAATTACTGAAATTTCGAACGACCAAACAACGATCTGATCAATCTGATTCTACCCAAGAAATTTCGGAAGATTTAATCGTACGTTGAACGATAAATAAATATAAATCTCGATTAATTTGATAGAATAAAATAATAAAATAAAATCAGAATAGAATAACCCTATAGGTATTTACTTATTGTTAATATTATACGGGTTAAGAAGTTAAAACACTGTTAATAATGCAAAAGGTAGGATAAATTGTCGCGTGACGTAGCACTGCGTCATACTTAACCCAATCATGCGATTTAATCTCGATCAAACACGGCTCGGTTATCACTTTGCTAAGTACGCAACGAGAAAATTGTCATTTGGCATAGAAGTGAATTTTAGCGTGCACCGGAAAAGAAATTAACCCGTGTTACTGAGTTTTCGGTTTTCACATATTTTTTAAACATTTAATTATTTTCTTCTATCATTATAATCTCCATGAGAATAATTTATTATAATCGTCTCTAAAAAAATTGTATTAAATTATTATTTAATTCATAGGTACACCCACCTAAGTCCATGAAAGATAGCATGATTTTAGACGATGAAACGAAAAGAACACGATCGAATAATCCTTACGAACTATTTATGAAGAAGGAAAGGCGCAAGGTAAAAATACAAAAAAAGGTATTTTCCAAGTTATTTCTTTTATTTGAAGTGTTGTCCCTTAGGCTATCGTTTGGCGTCCCTTGACGGAATCCGACTTGAGGGGCTACGATCCAGAAGCTACTCTTCGCATGAGAGCCGACAAGATTACTACAGATATATGTGAGGAATTTTGCGAATGGTTGAGGAGTTTAGGTGGATTAGAAAAAGGAATCAATGAAACTGTTCTCAAAGACATGTTCGAAATTAGCTTCTCAGCTGACGTATGCAAATCAACTCAAGTGAGTTAATCATTTATATTATACAAAGATCCTATACACAATATTATTCTGCACTGCGATGTGATATTACAATGTAATTAAAAATTATTTGTTTTTTAAAATCAAAAAAACAAGATTAATGTAAAAGAAATGGCAACAGTTCCGACAGACGTAGCCTTGGCAAGATTATGTCAAAAATCAAGCGTATTGGCAACAACCAGAAAACAACTGGAAAGAGATGCCAAAGCTGAAAGTAAACCTAAACGCGTTTTGGCATTTGGCACCTCGATGCCATCCGAATTATTATTCATACCACCTGAAAATCAGGTAAGGGAAAAGTGGTTAGAGTGTAAAAACGTACCACTCGAACTCGAAACGATGGACGTTGTTTGGGATGGGATTATTCATTTGAAAAGCGTGCAAGCTTTCATCAAATGGCTTCATCTTCATCCTGAGGTATTTCAATTTATATTAAATATTTTCTTTTCTAATATATAACGATTGATCATTTTATTTTATAATCATAGGTAAGCCTACCGGAAATATTCAAACGTTCTGAAATTACGAAAACAAATGAAAAAAGTCATGCGAAGGAAAAAATCAATGCGGAATGATCGATTGATAAACCGTATCGTAAATTTGTCGTTAATTTATTGAACGTTTAGAAGTTTATTTGACGAGTTAATCGATTCTAACGAATATAACGAAAGAAAATGTTTTGGTAGATGAGATATATGTACACTGTCGTCGTGTAACCAACGATTTAGCTCGGATTTTCAACGCGCAAACACCAGCAGGCGTGCCAACCAATAATACCGTTCGATAACACGATACCAAACGCCTGTTTCATGTATGTGGCGTACGGTTAACCCCTAAAGCCAACGCAGTATCCCCAAACTATTAGGAATCGACGGTTAAAATTCTAACAGCGTTAAACCAAACCGTTCATTTGCCTATTCGACAAAAACTATCAAAAATACTGCCGAATAATCTTTAATCATTCTTATTTTTATGTTTAGGGCTAAATTCATTAGTTAATTACTTCATAAAAACATAATATATTAAAGTATACTATTTTATAATTTTTCATCTTTCCAAATTTTTCAATTGTAAATTTACAAAAAGTATGCTTAAGTAAATTGGGTGCATTTAGTGTCGAAAAATCGTTAATGGAAGAAAGTATTGATAGAAAATCTTGCATGTTAGATGTATAACTTATGAGATCATCGTTAGGCACCTTCCTCCCTTATCCCTCCAGCCCTTACCCACCTGTCGATAATGACGTAGGACTGTCGACCATAAGAAATATTGTAAAACGTAAATTTAAAGCAAAACTCGGCTTCGTGGCATCTGCTTGCGACAGGAACACGTTCGGAGGTATCGTTTTTTCTATCGCATTGGTTTCAAACCCGGTAAGAATAAAGAAAAAAAAAAGAAAAATACATCTGTGCAGTATTCTTCTTCTTCTTCTTCTTCTTCTTCTTCTTTTTCTTTTGATAGGAGACATTTGGATTTCATTTTTTATCCTTAACAAATAATTTCGCGATAACGAGGATGTCGGATGATAACTTTTTTTCGTTCGTTTTTAAAAATCGGTGCTAGAGTTTTCATTTTTATTTTAATAAAAATAAAAGATGGATAGGAGTAATTAGTATTAACTTTTACAGTAATCATTATTCTTCGATTAAAAAACAACGTAAATTAAAATTTGTTCTTAATTATTTGCCTCCCGAAAAAAAAGGCAATATATAAAATATTCAAAAGAAGAAGAAGAAAAAGAAAGAGAGAAATTCTAGATGGAAATAGGAAAAAGTAGAAAGGAAAGGACGGTGTCCTAGAAGTTGTAGGTACCTGTAACTCGCGCAAACACGTGTAAAAATCTAAACCACATAGACCGCAAAGACACAGTCGCCCAGTCGACGGTTTTCCTCCTTTCCCTCGCACGTTAATTGAGCTAAAAGGAAGGAAAAAGAGCACACGTACACAACACACACACTCACTCATACACCCACCCACCCACGCGTAGTAGTACTAGGTTTACAAGCATACTCCTTTGCTATTCGTTATTCGCGGAGCTTTTTATTCTTTCTGTTCCAGGAATTTCCCACGAGGCCTTCCTCCCCCCTTTCTTCTTTAGTCCCTTTTACCCTCTTTCTTTCCCGCTCCTTTTTTCTATTTCACTTGCTAAAGTAAAAAAGAGAGAAAGAGAGAGAGATAGATAACAAGTTGATGGTAGTATAGGTGTGTGTGTATACACATAGAAAAATGATACAAGTTGTAGTAGAAAAGTAGAAGAAGAAGAAGAAGAAGAATAAGGGAAACGAAAAAATGGAGACCCCCGGAAGATGATGATGATGGGCACAAAGGATTCTCCTGCAACCAGAAAAAAAAAAAAGAACGGACGAGCATGGAAAACGAAGAACCGAATGATGAGAGAGGAACGAGACGTAAGCTGGACCAACCAGAACTAAGGGAGGAGGGTTGCAACGCTCGTGGGAGTTGCAACAGGGGAAAGGAACTTCGGAAAAGAATATCGGTGCATTGGTCATCGTTTCGGTTCACTACGAACGAAGATTTTCGCTCGAGCGAAAAATTTAACAAGGCACACGCTTCCGATACCGACAATAGCCAACTTTCTCGACTACCCTCAACCCCCACACCCCTTCTCCGTCCTTATTCTTCAACCCCTCTCACCCTTAAACAGAATGCTCCGATTTTAATTACCTCAATTTCAACTTCCACTTGGTCGTACCATTATTCCCTTCGTCTATTCGTCTGTCTGTCTATCTGTCTAGGATTGGCAAATGAAGGAAAAGTTAAACCGATCGAACTGTTGCCAGAGAATTCTTCTTTCCTGTCTTTGAAAATTTAGGTTGGTAATTAGGAGATTAGTCGATAGCAGAAAAAACGTTTGAATGTTTTTCTTCATTAATTGTCTTATTTTTTTCTTCGAGATTTATATTTAATTCTAAAAAATATAATTTTAGTTTGTTTTTATTGTACGGACACACGAATACGTGTGGAAAATAATTTGACGAATATTTATTGAAAATTGAATGAGAATATGATACGATAGAATTTATTGAAAATACGCAAGCTAATATAATATTTACCATCGTATGTTTAATATTAAATAAATAAATAAATAAAAATCGATTGGCAACGCGACTCGTCCTAGTTTTATTTTACAAATCTTCGATAGTACAATCTACGAAAGAGATATTATAATAATAATAATAATAATAATAATAATTAATAGAAAATCAGAATATAATAACGAAGAAAGGAATTTCCAAGACGTCTAACAACCATGACGACGACTTTGCAAAGAGAAATACTAAAGAAGTTAAAGGGTAGAATAGTAACTAGGGATAGGCAGAGAGAAATTTCAAACAAACCCTCGCACGGTACCAACCTACCTACCTACCTACCTACCACCCATTTCTATCTCGATAATAAACGAAACGACAGATTGTAATTACATGTACCAAGGCGATAATAGTATAAAACCGCAGAAACGTTTTGGAATTCAGTCCTGTTCTGTTGTAAACGTTCGTTCCTACGAGAAACTGGTTTTCCCTGTTTGCCAGTTTAATTTTCCTATCGTTGAGTATCGTTGAGTATCGTATCGCATCGTATCGTATCGTATCGTATCCTATCGTATCGCATTGCATCCCATAGCAAGCCAGAAATTTTCTGCTTAATCGAAATAACGATAAACCATAATAGGAATATGCATTAACATTTTACGTTTTAGTTATACCGTTAAACAATTAAACGCTATTATCATATTCCCCCATTTTTTCTTTCTTTTTTTTATATTTCATTGAAATAACAATAAACGCGAATAATTTCTATTCAAAGAAACTATAATTTTTTCTTAACAATTCTCAATTGCAATTATTGACAATTAATAAACGAATCGATAAACGAATATTTTTTATTCAAATCCTCTGTCAAATTCCTTTAGATTCTTGATCTTGATCTTTCTCTTTCTCTCTCTCTCTTATATTCATAGGAAAAAAATAAGAATATGATAAAAAGAGTGAGATAGGAGTATGTATACATGCATGCATGCATATAATGCATAGAAGGAACGAAGAATGAGAGAGAGAGAGAGAGAGAGAGAATCGTGAAGCAATTCTTCTCGTATTCCCTTCGTATCTACTTTGCAGTCAATCTACTTTACGAAAAGCTCGACTATCTACCTATATACCTATCTATCTACCTGCCTACCTGCCTACCTGCCTACCTACTTCCTTCCTTCCTTCCTTCCTTCCTTCCTTTCTTTGTGACTTTCTTTAGAAATCTCGAACGAGAAGTTGCGGCAAGAAAAGATAGGCGATCGAAAGGCAGAATAATTTTTAACTGCGAACTTGCCGAAATGAATAATACATGATCGAAAAGAAAGAGATAGATATATACAGAGTGTACCCGTAAAAAAGGTGGTATAACCAAATGGTGAAGCGGGAGGGAAACGGGAATGATTGTAGATGTAAAAATCAGTCGACAAAAAAAATAAGTAACAAATATTTTCCCTTTTCGAAATATACACTCTGTCTAGAGTAAGAACATGTTTCGTAATATGTAGGTGAAACTCATTTCTGGAATGTACAAGGGACACTATAATAATTCATAAAATATAATCATGTGGTCTGTACTATTTAATTTTGTTTCAAAGTAATGCAACTTTTATGTACATTCATAATTTTGGATCTAAATTAAAGAGTGATCAATTCGTATACCTTTTTCTGTTAAGATAAATAATTATTGTCAATGTGTTTGGAAATATTTAAATGTGTAATAATTTTGTTGTTTGCATTCTGCAAACGAAAATACACTTTTTTTTTGTTTTTTTAGTAGACCTTAATTTAGCTGACAATGTTCGGGGGGAGGTGGATTTTTAATTATCGAAAAATGCGATGTTCGTTGCGTAAAAAAAAACCTTGTGTATAGGTCTCCCTAGGAAGAACATTTAGAAAATCAATGACGAGGGAACAAAATTAACTATTGACTTTAGTAAAGGCACCAAACTCGAGCTCATTAAGCGTAGGTACAAGGACGTTGACGTTGTGACATCGAACCCACTTAATTACTTAAAATCAAGCTACCAATCGATAACGACTTTGTAAATTTTCTAATAGAATGACCGTCCATACGATACGACGAAAATGTAAAATCGATACAAGCAAGGAACACATTTATATTTTATTGGGTTTCACCGATAAGTATATTATAATATTATAATTTCCAAATTTGGAAATTTACCCTGTAGTATTTTATTTAACAATAAAGGAAACATTGTAATATTTTCAATGAAAAATTCCATCCTTGATATATAACAAAAGAGAATTATGCAATATAAAAGAGATTTAAACTTTAAATTATGTTAATATTTGTAATATCTTATTATTCAATTTTAAATTATCTATTATTTATTCATTTGAAGATCTTATTAACGACATCATCGGTGTCGTTTCAATGTAATTATTAAGAACCCAAAGTTACAAAACACTCATAAATACTTCTCAGTTAAACCACTCAACTCTGGATAAAATAGTTTTCAAGTATTTATAGTAACATGTATATACCTTACTTTTATATATATATATATATATATTTACATTGAAATCTTACAAGTGTAACAAACTTGTGAGTTTTGTGAACTTTGGTTAGTTCGAACGGCAGTAATTCGTCGGAAGGGAATATTTTTAAAAATGAAAAAAGGAAACGAAAAACGGCTGATAAAAAATAAAAAAAATAAAAAAGATAAAGAGAGAAAGAAAGAAAGAAAGCCGACACAAACAATGAAAACCAACTATCCCTTATTTCTTTTTTTTTGTTTCGTTCAAAAACACAGGTGGCAAAGAAACGTGCTTCTAGGGCGATTCGCTTCGTAACACGTTCGTCGCTCGTGACATACGAAACGGTATAAAACGCGTAAGTGTATCTATCGTAGACCATACACATATACACTATCGAGCAACACATATACAGTGACTCTAAAAAATATTCTAAAACAATAATCACGACTAAGCCTTACAGTTCCATATTTTATTATTTATATTAAACAATCATATTGGTTATTGTTTTTTAACAAACATATATAATTTATTTAACAAATTGTATCATTGATTAGAACTCGAACTATCATTTAATTCTAATTATTTCTATACGACAAAATATGCAGTCTCCGAAGATTTATATGGTTCCCATGTAAATTTTATACTTTTATTCAGGTTAAAAATATAATATATATATAAATGATTTCATTCATTTATAATTAAAAAAATAATAAATGAATTATTGTTGGAAAGAATAATTAGAACGATTTATAAACGACCAAAGTATAAAATCTAAATAGTTGGTAATAGTTTAATGGCTGAATATTTTTTGGAGTCACTGTA